GGTTTGAAGTTGAAATTTATTGTGCAATTTTTTTGATTAATTAGTTCCATTGCTTAATTTTCTTTAGACTATTGTTGCTTTAACTTTTAATTGATTATAACTACTGAATTTGTATAGGTTACTATCATGTCTATTTTATGATTTGTAACACGAGACGTTGGGGCTTCTAGACGAGATAGTGAAGAAAATAGTAGAGAAAAACATTCTCGTGTTGAATTTGATCCAAATGATGTTGTTTCAGATCCTGGATTACGTAAGCCAATCAAAGCTTATAATTCTTGTATTAGAGACCAGGTTATGAGAGAATATTTAACAAGAGGACCGTGTAGACCGATTGGTCATGTATATCCTAAGAGAGTGTATGGTAAAGAAAAAAGAAGTTTTCAACCTCTTTGGTTTGAGAAATATCCATGGTTGGAGTATAGCATTTCAAAAGATGCTGCTTATTGTTTGTGGTGTTATCTTTTCAAAAATTCAAATAAAGGGAACCGAGTAGGAGAAGTTGCATATACTGACAAAGGGGTAAAATATTGGAAAAAGCACTAGATATTTTTAATACTCATGTTGGTGTGGTGGGTAGTGCCCACAATGATGCTAGAATGCAACTTGAACTTTTTCGAAATCAAAGACAAAGTGTCTCACTGCACATTTGATAAATGCACAAGGCCGGGAAATAGAAAAGGCGTATCACATTCGTTTAACCGCAATTTTGGATGTCATACGCTTTCTATTGAAGCAAGGTCTAGCATCTCGTGGTCATGATGAGTCATCTAGTTCTTTAAATAAAGGTAATTTCCTTGAATTACTAGAATGATATAGTCAAAGAAATGAAGAGGTTGCTAAGACACTTAATGAAAATGCTCCCGGAAATAATCAAATGACATCTCCAAAAATCCAAAAGGAGGTAACTAGTGCTTGTGACTTTGAAGTCACACAAGTTATTCTTGAAGATATTGGGGATAATGTATTCACTCTTATGGTTGATGAATGTAGAGATGTTTCGGTTAAGGAGCAAATGGGAGTTGTTTTGAGATATGTGGATAAACGTGGATATGTGATTGAACGTTTCCTTGGCATTGTGCATGTGACTGATACTTCTGCTATTTCTTTGAAAAGTGCTATCGATGAGTTGTTTTCAAAGCATAAATTGTCTTTATCAAAATTGAGAGGTCAAGGATATGATGGTGCTTCAAATATGCGAGGTGAGTACAATGGATTAAATGCTCTCACATTGAAGGAAAATCCGTCAGCAAGGTATGTACATTGCTTTTCTCACCAACTTCAACTAGTTGTTGTTGATGTTGCTAAGTCTAATCGGATTGTGTGTGACTTTTTTCAATATGTTATTATGCTTGTGAATGTCACCGGTGCATCTTGTAAAAGAAAAGATAGACTTAGACAAATAGAGCATGATAGACTAGTTGAGAGTTTGGAGAAGGGAGAGATAGTAAGTGAGAAAGGGAAAAATCAAGAAACAAGTTTGAGAAGACCGGGGGATACTCGTTGGGGGTCACACTACATAACTATTGTGCGTTTGATGTATATGTGGACTTCGGTTTTAAAAGCACTTGAAAATGTGCATGATGATGAAGCTACTGAGGAGCGGGGTGCCGGGGTATGGCTACAAGTTTAATTAACAAGATGGAGAATTATGAATTTGTCTTTGTTATGCATTTAATGACGCATTTGTTTGGAATTACTAATGAGTTGTCTCTTGCCTTGCAACAAAAAGATCAAAATATTATTTTGGCAATCAACTTGATTGGGACGATGAAAGTTAGATTGCAAGAATTTCGAGATAATGGGTGGGAGACTCTTTTAGAAGAAGCAAATTCATTTTGTGAAAAAACCAACATCCCGATTTTAAGTATGGAAGAACAAGTACTAGTTCGTGGGCGTAGTAGACGAAGTGGAAACACAATCACAAATTTGGTTCACTTCCGTGGCGGAATCTTTTGTGAGGTATGTGATTATGTATTTTGATTATTTTATTATTATTAGTATTTATTCATTTATTTTGATTTTATTATTTTGTACTATATATTAGGTTGTTGACAAGATGATTGTGGAGATGAATAATCGTTTTTCATAAGCAAGTACTGAGTTACTTACGTGTATTGCATGTCTTGATCCAAAAAATTCTTTCTCCCAGTTTGACATTGATAAACTCATTCATATGGCTGAAATGTATGTGGAAGATTTTTCTTCTACCGATCGTTTTATGCTCAAGCAACAACTTGAGACATACATTCATGCCGTGCGGAGTCAAAGTCAATTTCTTGCAATAGAAGATTTGGGAAATCTTGCCAAACAAATGGTTGAAAGTGGCATGAACCTTGTGTTTTCTTTGGTATATCGTCTTATTGAGTTGGCGTTAGTTTTACCAGTTGCAACAGCTTCAGTTGAAAGGGTCTTTTCTGGCATGAAAATCATCAAGACTGATTTATGGAGTAGAATGGGAGATGAATGGATGAATGATAGCTTGGTGATATACATGGAGAAGGAAATTTGTGCCAAAATTGAAAATGAAGCAATTTTGCAACGTTTTCAACATATGCAGACGCGCCGCACACAGTTGTCTCAATTGCCTTCTTCTTCTAACATTTAATTGTAATGTAATGTACTCTTCTCGCAAATTTTATATTTTGTAAACTTTAATAATAATTGATATTTTTGCATTTTATAAAACCTTTAGCCACCCCTTTACTTTGGTTCTGGTTCCGCCACTGTGTGCCGGTACAACTAGTTTTTGTAAATTTGTTTACTCTTAACTTTTAATTAAAATTAAAATTTGAGGTGGGTCAAGACATACGTTGCTCCCCTAGCTAACCCCTTATCTAATACGGAGTACTTTTCATCCCATTTTGGTTGTTTTACTTTTCTTTTAAGTTGTCCATTTTGGTTGTTTTACTTTGTTTTTTAGTTGTTCAAAATGAATGTGATGTTACTTTGTATAGCAAAAAATATACTATGTACTACTTTATCAGAGTCCTAATCCTGTCAGGCCGGCCTAACGGAAACCGCTGTCCGGCCGAGGCTATCAGAGGCCCTTTCTGGTAGAATTTTTTGATGAATTTTTTTGAGCATGTTCTTCATCAAGTCTATTTTATCCATACCAAATTTCAGGTTGAATTTATAGGTGAAATTTTTTCAGGGAATTTTTTTGTAGGGATTTTTTTTGACCGCCTTCCCGGTTGAATTATAGCTAAAATTTGGTATAGATGAACTAGACTTGATTAGAAACATTCTCAAAAAATTGCATAAAAAACTTCCAGCAGGAAGGGTCCCAAATGGCCTCGGCCTGACGGCGGTTCCCGTCAGACCAGTCTAATATGATATGTCCTCTTGTCATTTCTTTTATTCTATTCAAATATTAACTATAACTTTACTCTTCAAATAGTTTACTAATAATCGTATGAAATTAAAACTGACGGAAGTACTCCCTCCGTAACTTTGAAATCTTCCCATTTCAAAAGTAGGTAGATTAAGAATAGTGAAAGATGATATGAATTATTGAGGGTATGATGGGAAAATTGTGGAATAATGTGGTGGAATGTAGGATAAATCCAAAAAAAGTAGTTGTAATAGTGTATTATTTTAAAAATTATTGAGGGTATGATGGGAAGATTTAGAAATGAGAAGATTTTTTTGTTACGGACGAAAAAGGAAAGTGGGAAGATTTTTAAGTTACGGAGGGAGTATTTTTTAAAATCGAAATAGGAAACTAATTATGTCATAACTAGTGATATTAAATTTGAGAGGGGGGTGCGTGCGAACACTTGTCCCTGACCTCAGGTCCTCGGGGGTCCTGCACTGCTCGCTAAAGAACTGCTGGAGTAGCCAATATGAATGAACTCATTATTATTATTTCTTCGATCCAAATAATAATGAATGGACCAGAAGGTGGCGAACGAAAGCAACATGTCGTCGTTATTAGAGTGGATCGGCCTTAAATAAAAAAGGTGAGAAAAAGTGGTTAGTAGTAAAAGTTGATAGTGTTTGGTAAAATAAAGGCTTTTTGTGTAATAGAAAAAGAAAAAAGTAGATTCTACACAGAAGCCAAAAAAGTAAAAGTTAGTAAAGTTTAGTAAAATAAGTGGTTTTTTCTTACAAAAAGCCACAATCATTTAAATTAAGTGATTGCAAACAGAGCATAAGTAGATCGATCGATCGATCAATTTGTTTTTCCCAACGTTTTGAAGGATAATTAAAAAAATAATAATTTAATCTCAATTTTTTTTAAGAAGTATTTATTTCAATAAAGTAAAGAAATACTCCCTCCGTAACTTAAAAATCTTCTCACTTTCCTTTTTCGTCCGTAACACAAAAATCTTCTCATTTCTAAATCTTCCCATCATACCCTCAATAATTCTTAAAATAATACACTATTACAACTACTTTTTTTGGATTTATCCTACATTCCACCACATTATTCCACGATTTTCCCATCATACCCTCAATAATTCATATCATCTTTCACTATTCTTAATCTACCTACTTTTGAAATGGGAAGATTCTAAAGTTACGGAGGGAGTACAATAGGTGTAGGACATCAACCAAAGGCCAAAGCCTACCACCGTCCAATTATTTGAATTCGTCCATTTATACTGGGACGGAAGAGAGTGACACGATTATTAAGAAAAGTGTATTTGTGTGGTTGATATTAATTGATAAAGTAAGAATAAAGTAAGAATGATTTAGACCTACCCAAACTTTGCCAAATATGATATAACAGATATAATTCAGTCAAAACTTCTCTCTTCTTCCAAATTTAGTACTCCCAAATACTCCATTTCCTCTCCAACAATATTCTCCTCCTCTTCCTTCCCAAACATACTTTAAGAGCGGGATGCGAACACTTGTCCAGTTGTCCCTGACCCCAGGGGTCTAAAGACCTGCTGGAGTCTAGCCAATATGAATGGACTAGAAGTTATGAGAGCGGGTCGGCCTTAATAAGTAGATGAATGACAGATCGATTCACACACACCGCAAAAGATCTACACGATTCAATCAATTGTATATGATGGAGAAGGGAATCGGTCCTCATCACTGCCCGCCGGCGTCAGAGCGACCTCCAACTCCGGCGGAATTCAAGGGAAGTTGCGGCGGCAGCAGCAGGTTACACACAACACTGGCGGTGGCGCTGTGGCTGGGCACCATCCACCTCAACATCTTCATCCTATTCGCTTCCTTCACCTTCCTCCCATTCTCCCATAGTCCCATGCCATCGCGTACGAATCATCACTACTCTGCCCACACCTTAATCGTCTTTTCAATTCATTTCTATGAATGTTGATTTTGGATTCGTTCATTTGCTTCAGAGTTGCGGGGGGACTTTTGATGTTTTTTGCGCTAGTCCCGATTGACGAGAATAACAAACACGGCCGGAGATTAGCAAGGTCTGGTTTCCTTATCCTTGCCATTTGTATCTCAACCACACGCTTTTTACCATTCTTATTTTTCACATCGCAAAGTAAAGGGTCTGTAAATAGGTTGATGTTTTATAGATAAATAAAATGTGATTTTTCTGTAAATTTTGGTCAACACAGGTACATATATAAGCACGCGTGTAGCTACTTTCCGGTGCATCTGTACGTGGAGGACTCTGGGGCATTCGATCCCAATCAGGCATACAGTAAGAAAGAAACTGTTCTGTCCATCTTAATTTTATTACTTATTGCATATTCTTATTTTATTTAGATCAGATCAGAAAAATTCAGATCAGATCAGGAACATTCAGATCAGAAAAGTTCAGACATGATTTATCCTTTTTATAATAATAATAATAATGATGATGATAATAATAATAATAATTATTACTACCCCCGTCCCATTTTATGTGTCTTCTTTGGTTTTGACACAATTTTTAATAAAGTGATTGAAAAGGTAAAAGTTGTGGTTGAGATTTGGTTATAGTAAAGTGAAATGTTGTGAACCACATATTTCTTTCCAAAGAGGGAAAATGGACACTTATTTTGGGACAACCCAAAAAGGAAAGTAAAACATGTAAAATGTTACGGAGGGAGTATTATTTTTGTTGTTGTTATTGTAATTATTATTATAATTACTATTATTATTGATATTATTATTAGGGGTGGGACCGATCCATATTATTACTATAATAATATGGAAGGACATAAGGTGTTACTTTTACAATAGTCACATGATCATATGTGGACAAATTCAAAGTTGAGAAATAAAAGTGTCTTTCCAAGTATATTTGAATGACTAAAAGTGGACAAAATGAGGGTGTGTTTGACGCAATAATTAACGAACAAAATTGGCAAAAACTGTTACTACTTCATTTTAGTTTGGTAAATCAGTCTTTATAGCAATCCTTATCCTGGTTAATTGACATTTTTTTGTATTTCATTTTTTGTGTACTATGATGGTGTTGAAGTTTTTGGGTATGAACCGCACTCTGCTTGGCCAATTGGAGTGATTTCACTTGCAGACCTTACAGGCTTCATGCCACTACCAAGAGTGAAATTCCTCGCTAGCAGTGCTGTAAGGCCTCGTTAATCATAGTGTGCGTAATTCAATTGTCTCATGCTCAGTTGTCTAAAAAATGATCATTGGCAGGTCTTTTTGACACCATTCATGAGGCATTTATGGACCTGGTTGGGAACATCACCTGCAACAAGGGATAATTTTAAGTCCCTCCTGTCATCCGGCTATAGCTGCATCATAGTGCCGGGTGGAACTCAAGAAGTATTCTATATGGATCCTGGCTCTGAGGTTTAGTATAAACCATATATATATATATATGGAATAATTTAAGTTGCTTTCTCATCTTTATATAGCAAACCATTCAATCTAGAGGTTTTGACTAATAACTAAATATCGTCCCACCTCACAAATTAAAATGAAACATTTAAAACAGAAAAGTTATATGTGTAACGAAGAGAATACTATTTTTGTAATAATACTCCTCATGAATAACCTCGGGTATATCCGTATATATGTACCTTGTGGTTCATTAATAAAGAGCAGGATATGATTTCAGGGCTTTAATGCACCAAACCCCCTCGTGAAATAAAAATTCGGCGCATTAGCCTCCTGTGATTAAACAAATGCGTCAAACCCCCCTGTGTTATAATTAATCATGTGCCAAACCCCCTCTAAGAACAAATTTAATTTTCAAAAAAATGAAAAATGGTTAGTTTTTTTGTATAATTGAGAAATTTTGACAAAGTTACTTGCATATTCAACCATATTATTAAAAAAAATGATTTCAAAATTTTAAACTTTGTTCTTGGAGGAGGTTTTGCGCATGATTTATCATAACACGGGGGGTTTGACGCATTTTTTAAATCACAAGGGGTTAATGCGCCGAATTTTTATTTCATGAGGGGGGTTTGGTGCATTAAACCCATGATTTCAGTTAACACTTGGTCGTCTATCACGGAGAGAGAGACTTGGTCTCAGGGATGGATTTAAGACTTTCAAAATTTTCTACTATATATATATATAATATTTTCAGACTTTAGTTAGATATATATGCTTTCTCCCCCCTTATCTTTTAGTTTTCAAAATTAATATATAAGCTCACATAATGTAATACTTAATTGAATATTTAAAATAAGTAAAATCTAAAATAATTTACACAATTTAAATAAATAAACAATAGAATAACTCATTGTTTAAGACTTGGGATACCTATTATATCAAAATTCTTAATTTTGTAATGTTTAATTATCTTTATAAGATAATTAGTACTCGGTATGTAAAATATTGAAGATATTATAAATATCAGACACAATAGTTAAACAATTTGTAGTGTAAAGTGAATCCAAAATATAAATGTTTGTTGACACTAAATTACACAATCAAATCACTTCTTACTTTGTAAAAACAATTTGTTGCATAGATAATAAGCTTTAACAATACTACGTGTGATCTAAAACTAATAATCTCATACATACTATTGTAATATTAATAAAACTCCGTGTGATCCATGAATACCCTCCTTCGTAGGGATGGACTCGGGCCGGGCCAACCGGCCCGGAACCGGACCGGCCCGCTACTGTGCGGGCCCGGACCGGCCCGGTCAACCGGTTCGGTTCCGGTTCGGGCCTCCAGGCCCGGTGGTATACCGGTCCGGGCCCGGGCCTCCAGTTTAGTGAACCGGCCCGGCCGGGCCGGGCCCGGTTCGGGCCGGAATTTAATTTTTTTTTTTTTTTTTTGAATTTTTTTTAAGTTTTGGGTTGGATTAGGTATTTTGGGCCATTTGAGGTGGTTTGGGGTGGTTTGGGGTGGAGGGGGAGGGGTAGGGGGTTAAATAAGAGAAGAAGAAGAAAAAAAAAAAAATCCGGGTGGCCCGGCCCGGCCCGGCCCGGTTCTGGCCCGGAACCGGAACCGGAACCGCCCACCACCGGTTCGGGCCCGGGCCTCCTTTTTCTGAACCGAGGCCCGGCCGGGCCCAGGCCCGAACCGGGCCCGAACCGGAACCGGTCCACCCCTACTCCTTCGTAGACACAAATTGCAATTCAAAAATCGATTTTTTATTATGATAAGATTCATGTGGTTAAACAAAGCAGAAATTATTAAAAACATCGGTCCATGTATACCTTTTAAACTCCTTATTACCTTCAAATAATTTGATAAAATGTTATATCCTTTCTTATTTTTACATTGTCTAAAATTAGAATGTAATATAATTGATTTGAACGTCATCGTGTATTTACTCATGGAATTGTTTGAACAAAATGTAGCTGCAGAGTCCTACACTAGCAAAAAAAATTTGTCCCATTACATTAGCAAAACATTTTTCACCCTACATTTTCTCCCCATTACATGTAGCTTCAGAGTCCTACATTTTTCACCCCATTACATTTGCCCCAATACTAATTTTCCTACAATAGAGGAAAAATTTTCACCCCTACATTAATGAAAAAAAATTCGCCCCTCTTGACTCGAAATCCTGGTTGGAATAAAGAGCTGGTAATTCGATCTTGAATTAGGGCGTTTTGATCAAGTATATAAATAAAATGTTGCATGTCTATTGGACTACCACTTAGGGCCGCATCTAGGGTGGGGGCAGCTACACCCCTTAACGGCTTATCAAGTATATGTATATCTATGTATATACATATAACTTTTGGTTTATCTACATACATGTGCGCTTAATACATATAAAGGGTGTTTGATTAGCCGCCTAACAGCCATTTTTGATTGATTTGACTAATATTTGACTTTCTGACCAGATCAATCAGCTAATATGATGTTTGGTTCAATGACTTTTTCATTTGATTTTTTATTTCAAACAGCCAAATTTTCAAAAGGTATAGAACGTAGCGGTGACCTTCTCTCATCTTTTCATATAATCCTTTATTACCCACTACCCACGTCCCCTTCTATCTTTTCTGTAGCTGTTCCGTCCCACACCTCAATGAGAAAAAGATAAGTTGCAAAGCAAATTCCAGCCTAATTAGCTCGTCGGTCGAAAAGAAAAACAACAATGAAGAGAGCAAGCGTCCATGAAATAAAGTTTATTTCTTTTAGCTTTTTCTTCAATTTTGCATCTCTTGTGCACGGCAAGTCAATTGAAGAAAAGGTACTAGAAGTTTTGTTATAAAAAGTACTACGTACGCACTATGTACTCTTTTAGGTAAAAATAACAATAATAATAATAATACTAATACTAATTATTATTATTAATGTAATGTAAATTTTACATTTTTGAACTATAAAACGGTTTAAGCAATTATATATGAAGTATTAATTACATTAACTAAAAATTAATTGATGTCCTTAACGATCATTTAACAAGTTATCAGCAGATTATAAACAGTCGTTTAACCAGACATGATTTTACGAACTCTTAATTCTATCAGCCAACATAATCAGCCAACCGTCGACCACTAACGATTTGCCGAACACTCTCCATAAGTATAAAGAAAAAGTAAATGTGTTGAGTAGCAACTCATTACGTTGGTAGAGAGGTAGTAGGCGCTGCATTTGTATAGTCATGGCATTTTATGTACGCTCGATTCTCGGTGATAGGAGCATTTTTGTTTGATTTATTTTCCCTCTTAAAACACTTGCTTAATTAATGATACTCTTTTACATTTATAAATTGACTGATTTTGCTGAAATTTATGAAATTCTGGTTGAAGTGGCTATATTAGCTGATTCTGCTGATTCGAAAAAAATCATATTTAAAATACTCCCTCCCGTTAGGAGGTTCCGGTCAATTACGGTTTACGATGCTTGACTGACGATAAAGCAACTTAATCCTTGTTCACACTCTGATTATTTTTAGTAAATAAAATTTACATATTCAGAAACTACATTAAAACCGCTACAAAGCCTGCTAAAAAAATGTAAGTTTGATAAAAATTTGATATACACAGTAAAAGATTAAAAATTATTTAAGTTGACCATGTGAATAGTGTACGGGAACCTTTAAATGGGACGGAGGGAGTATTTATTATTAATAAATAAAAAAAATATGAAAAAATAGTTAAAATGATGTACTACATTAACTTCAGCCAAAACAACCAGAAAAGTAACTCCAACCTTACATTTTCTGCTAATTACACAATCAACGCGTGAAATCAAAAGTTACGTGTTTGGTGAAAAATTGACTAATAAGCCGAAAAATGGGGTCATCAAACGGGCTTTTATTCTTAATCTTTTATACGGAGTATCATTTAATATGCAATGTAATTTAGTGACTACTAACAAAAGTTTAAATTTTGTTGAATGTACAAATTATATGATTAATATTTTTTTTCTTTCATCCATCTTAAATTGAATTTAATTCACGATCTTATGGTCGAATAACTATAGAATAAAGGTTTAAATATGTTTTTAGTCCCTGCAAATATAATACGTTTTGTTTTACATCCCCGCAATTGTTTTTTTTTGTTTTTCGTCCCTGCAATTTATGTTTGTTTTCTTTTTAGTCCATCATTTATGATAACAACCTTCGTTTGACCTCAAAATAAACCCGATTAATAGATTTCCTCTAATTCTTTGTCATGTTATTCAAAAAGTATTTAATTTTATTTTTAGAATGTTTTAAATATATATTTTAAAATGTGAATACTTAGTTTTATATTGTTTTAACTCTCATACTAGCCTAAAAAAATTATAAAAGGACAAATTTAAATATTTCTAGTAGGTTTATGTAACTGATGTTAACTTTTTTTGTAAGTGGAGTGGTTTCAGAATTAGACATGGACTAAAAACAAAATAATGCATATTGCAGGGATGAAAACAAGAAAAATATTTTGCAGGGATCTAAAACAAAGTGTATCATATTTGCAAGGACTAAAACCAGGCCCGGCCCTGAAGAATAGAAGGCCCTGTTCAAAAAAATAATAGTAATAATACCACAAAAAAATACTATCGTAAAATTTTATATTAAATTTTATAAGATGCAATTCCACTTGCTTTTTTCATGTATAGATTCATACTCCGTATTTTCTAGTTCTGGGGCATCATCATTTACAAAATGTAAAAGAGATAAGGAATTCAAAAATAACATTTAACAAATATTGATACAATCAATTATTTAAATAAAAGAAAAATGAAACAAAAACAACTGAACAAATGATAGAAGAAGGATAGCAAAAAGAACAGATAAACTGAAGAACACATGGAACAGTCCACGCCCCACAAGGCTACACTGAGGTTTGCGCCTCTCTGCATGCTACTCTTAGACATCTGGCTTCAAGGAATCATGTGAGCAACTAATGAACTAAATGACAAAATCCAAATATCCAATAACAAGGAAGGTTTGAGAAATAAGAATTAAGAAAAAAGAACCGAAGCAATCGCTAAATCGGAATAACAGAGTTTGTCATTCGGTCTCAAATTCAAAATGGAAGATTGAGGTTTTGCCGATTGTTGGATATTTAATGAATTAATTAATGTTAAAACCTATCAATAAAAAACTAAATTTTCTAATCGTTCATTCTTCCTAGTGCCTCTTCTCGAAACCGTTGGGCATGCTGCTTCGTTTCTCCCATAAAATGCGATAAACGAGGAGTGGACTCCCCATTCCCGGTACTACATATATGTGGGCGATCGATTAGTTCATTAATCAAAGGAGGCACGCTTCCTCATGACGACTAATATGATCGGGTTAGGCCGCTTATTTGAAAAATCATCCTAATGGGCCTACTATAACATTAAGCTAATAATAAAAGGAGGCCTTCTTAAAATTGGGGGCCCTGTGCAAATACACCACTTGCACCTGGGCCGGGCCGGGCCTGACTAAAACGTATTTAAGCCTAAAATAAATCATCCTTGTAAGTAGTCAAATTAGTTTTATTAGTTAAAAGTTACATTTTTGAAAACTACATCGCAATACGAAATATGTAATTATGTAAATAAAATGAAACTGTGTTAATCAAGAAAAGTTGACATCACAAATCATTTTGGAAGATGGAGTAGTGTAAATGTGAAGTTACATAAACAAATAAACGTAATTTTAAAAGGAATATAAAGATACTTTTAGAAGAAATGAAAAGTAAAATATGTTATAATATTGTTTAATAAATGTTACTTATAGTTATTTTTGTAATATCGCTATCAGTAATCGATTATTTCTGAAATGTGTACTACAGCGAACAATTGTCATAGTGCAAATTCCCCCTCAAAAAAAATTCCTACGTATGCCACTAGTACGAGTGACACCACCACAAATAAACTAATCTTTTATAATCCCTAAACTCTAAATGCTAAAGTTTTTAAAAATGAATCAAATAGGTTGTAAGTGGTAACACATCCAAAAATTATCTACAAAGAGCATGCAACATGTAAATAAGAAAAATTCTATTCATAACTCTCAAATTGTTATTAACAACCACTTAATTAAAAAAAGAAAAAATAATTCAAATATTTAAATTACCCTTATTCAAAGGGTTCTATAACGCATGGATTGATGCTCAAACATACCATCGTGCTCTAAACTATTTGCCAGAGATCAACTCCGGTCTCTGTCCATATACGAAGTATACAGCTTCAACATCCTATACGGACAAGTAAACCTAAATTATGAGCAAGATTAGTACCGAGTAATATAAACTTAGAAAACAGAGTGAAACCTGGTTCCACACTCTAGGAAAAACCTAATAAGCAGTGGCGGAGCCATGATGGAAAGGTTATAGGAGCCGGGTTTAAGGAATTTATATAGGATGGGTCACAACTCAATTTTTTATTATATTTTTTACTACTTATAAATACACACATATATATATATATATATATCACAATTTTTTTCTAGTAAGGACCAAGGCCGCCGTTAGTCTCCCCTGTCTCCACCCTGCTAACAAGGTCTTTTTACATTCAACTTCCATTTTGTTGCCAAATCATTTATTGTAGGAAAATCATTTTGTTGTCAGAGGATATGTTGCAAAGTGAATTTGGATTAGACCTTTTTAATTTTCTTACATCATTGAGTTTTTTTGTTTGATTGACAGATTACTCAGATACTTTTGACATATCAATTGAAATTAATATGGACTAATATGTCGGGGATCCGATAAAATTGGAACGATATTATTACACTCCGTTTATAATGGGCATCAACAAATGGAGAAGAAAAAGTATTGTTTTTATTGTTTTGTACTCCCTCTTTCCCGAAAACAACCTCCCGGTTTGACTTTCACACACTTTTAGAAAATAAATTTGACTTTACTGTAGAGTACACTGTTTTGCACTGTTTGGCACTGTTTAAACACTTTTTGGCACTGTTTATCACTTTTTTGATGTAGATAATTTGCCAAATAAGGAAAGTATTGAAGTGTGAAGTTAATTTTGGGACATCCATTTAAGGAAAGTGGAAAGTTGTTTTTGGGACGGAGGGAGTACTTAATTGAGTTAATTCTATCAAGATCTGCTTGAACTTTGTTTAAGCTGCTGAAGGCTTGAATGTGCTTACTGCTTAATCGGTGGAGTTGATCTCGCAAAATGATTGAGAGCACGATGATGACTTTGAATATTGAGGACAATTAAAATATTTTTATTTACTTTATGCAATTAAATTACTGCGAATAGTAATTCGGAGGTGGTAAATAAAATTATCCGCTAAATAATTAGTAATTACGGAGTACTCCATACTCCCTCTGTCCTCTTTTAAATGTCTCGTTTTACCATATTGGGATGCCCCTATTTAATTGCCACATACCTTATTTGGTAAACTTTGTGTGGCTCAAAATCATTCTTACTTTATTCTTACTTTATCAATTAATATCAACCACACAAACTCACTTTTCTTAAAACTCGTGTCACCATCTCCCGTCCCATTTAAAAGGGGACGGAGGGAGTATAAAATAAGACATTCTAACTTGGTTGGTTAAAATGAACATTGGGCTGCATATTTAATATTTTGTTTTTTATTACTTGCTCAAAAAAGAGGGATGGAGGAGAATTGGTTATAAAAGTTGTCACTTTCGTTGGTTTTATGTATACACGGGATGGTGGAGTGGGATGGACATGACCTTTTGTCCGCCCACCCCACTTGAACAGTTTCATGTGAAATTTTATGATAATATTTTGGTTAAAGTGTCAAATAAGTCATCGAACTAACTTAAAAATTGCAATTCACCTATTATACAGGAGGCTCTGTCCGGCCGTCGCTAATTGGGGCGGTTTCTGATGGAAATTTTTTATGAATTTTTTTGTTCATCTTCTTCATTATGTGTAGTTTACGCATACCAAATGTTAGCTAAAAATTCAATCTGGAAGGCAGTCAAATGAATTTTTGAAAACAATTACGCAGTAAAACAGCGCAGTACATTTCAGAAAATCATTTGACTGTCTTCCCGATTGAATTTTTATCTGAAATTTGATATGGGTAAACTAGACTTAATGAAGAAGATGCTAAAAAAACTTCTTTAAAAAATTCCATCGGGAACCGCCTTTTTAAGTTAGTTCGATGCCCTATTTGACCCGTTAGCCAAATGAATTTTTGAAAACAATTACGCAGTAAAACAGCGCAGTACATTTCAGAAAATCATTTGACTGTCTTCCCGATTGAATTTTTATCTGAAATTTGATATGGGTAAACTAGACTTAATGAAGAAGATGCTAAAAAAACTTCTTTAAAAAATTCCATCGGGAACCGCCTTTTTAAGTTAGTTCGATGCCCTATTTGACCCGTTAGCCAAAATATTTTGAACATGTTCACAAAATAGTTCGATGCCCTATTTGACCCGTTAGGTTTACAAAATTTCAATTTAAATTTCAATTTAAAATAAATTATTGAAACAAATTTGTCAAACTATATATGTAAAAGCACAGTTTTTCTCAAAAATTTATTTAACCAATTTTCCGATTGAATTTCAAGTCGGAAATATGTGGATATAATCTACATTTTATGAATAACATGCTTAAAAACTTCATCAAAAATTCTTATAGGATATTGTTATTTACGATGTAGGTTGCTTTCCTTAATTCAAGAAAAGGATTTGTAAGGATTGCTATAGAGACGGGCAAGCCTTTAGTTCCTGTATTTTGCTTTGGCCAGGTAAATTTGTTTCATTCTTACAATTTAATAGTTCTTGTCTCACAAAATTCAACTTTATTTATTTTTCTTGGTCAACGATAGTTAAAATTGACCAATAATATATCTTAGTATGAGGTTATTTAAAATACGAACATTATAGACATATTCTTTGTTAAATATTCATAAAAAAACACAAAGTTTACATATTTTGAACAAATATAAAATTTATGTAATTATCCAAAATTATCATGACTGACCAAAAAAAGTTGGCATGTTTTATGCGAGGACTTAATAACACTGTAAAACAAATTTTAAATATTTACATAAAATTGATCTCAAATAATAATATACTTTATATGAGAATATCGAGTTCAATCTTTAAAATGAATCCTCTAATTCTTTACCTACAATTCGAAATAAAAATTTTCTTCCATTTCTCTAGGGCTTCGGCCGAAATGGGCTTTGGATCCTATTTACTTATATTTTTATAGCCAGAAAGTCAACACTTGTGTGATGTATCTGGACAACTTTTTAAGAACGTTCATAGCTATTTTGATATATATATAGACGATTTTTTGACTAGATTCTTCTCCTTATTCATAAGTTGAACCAGGCCTCTTATCTTTTAGGTCACTATTTGATATTGGGCTCTAAAACAGTGAGTTTAATAGAGCTGGTCCATTATATTAAAAATTAAATTAATTGGAGATTCCTAAGATAAAATTACCCCATATGGCTAGAACTCTTTCACTTTTCTAATCTATGACCATACTAGTTTTTTCCATAAAATATTATTTAAATACTTCCTATTTAATTAGTTTATTAATAAATAAATAAATAATTAATTAAATAATTATATATAAAAAAATAAACAAAGTATTTTTATGGACTAATATGCAATTAAGTCATTATTATAAAACTCTTACATCCTACTCCTTTTCTCAAACCCTAGTTGTAGCCATCACCTCTAGTCTCCCACCGCACACCTACCTCCTACCGTACCGCCACTCTGCCGCCCAAATCCCCGCAACACCACCACCCGCCGCCGTTTCACACACGTCTGTCCATAGCTGCCGTCTACCCGCTTCATCCACCATCTTCCTGTAGTCACACGACGTTTGGACACCTCGTCATGCAACTGCCAACCATTCGACATCCACGAACCTCAGACCTCGCGTCGTGCAGCCGCCAGAAACTGCCTTATCTAATCTCCTTTTTTTCTTCTTCTCCTTCTTTTCCGGTCTCCTTTTTTTGTATTTCTTGAAATTAGGTTTGGTAATTAATGTTACCAAAGAATGGCGTTGGATCGTCGCTCCAGCAACTCAGATTCTTCAACCAAGGCAGTCGAGGTTGAAAGCGAACCCTGGGTTGAAGATGAACCCTATCCCTATGTTGAAGACGATTGAAGACAATGTGCAGTAAATAATTTGTATGTATTTTCGTCAATATCCCAAGAAGTGAAGTGGTTATGACAAGAAGTGCAATGATGTTATCATACATAAAGTGATTATGACACAAAGTGCAATAATGTAGAGCATTAACATTGAGATAAAGTACAATTATCAAATCTAAAAAGAAAAAAAAAAGAATTACAAGATTCTAACATTTATGTAATATCGTGCCATAACTCTTGTATGAAGTGCATTATGTTTAATTAAACGTAAATGCTAAAGTTATCAAAACTAAAAAAAAACAATAAACTAAAATTCCATAACTTAAGTGCATTATATGTCATGCAGTGAACATCGACATAAAGTGCGGTAAATGTCATGCAATGACGTTTGCATAAAGTGCAATACTTTTACTCGTATGAAAGTAGTGCAAAATGCATCTTTTTTAATAAGGGTATCGTCCTTCCACATTTTAATATAACGAGATTTTTTTCCATTTTTAGTCATATTTCGGGATAAAAACAAAATTAGTGATATTTAAGGAAACTCTACAAGTTTTATTCATATCCCAGAAAATTTCTCTATTTTTAATGGTCTAAATTAGGGGTTTTTTTTACAAAGAAAATTACTAAAATAAAACTTATTTACACAAATATGACTACTAGTTACTATAATATAGTGTCATAGTAACTTAAGTTTAAAAAGTGAGCATAAGTTACTATGATTTCAATACTACTCTAGTCACTAATCACATTTTTGTAAACAGTCTTCATTTTAGTGATAAATATGTAATTATTTCCCAAATTAATTAATCATTAATTTCATCTCAAGAGACTCATATCACTATCTTTCTTTTAATAAAGTTCAACAATCATCATGAGTGGCCTAGTGAAATTCAACATTGATCCAATGACATTCAAAATAGATCCAATAAGATGTAAAATAGCCTAGTTGCATCTAAAAGAGCTCAATAATATTATGGACTATCATTTGTAAAGTCCAAGGCATTCATTAAAGTCCAATAATTTTCCATACTCACAAGCACATTGTGTGTAATTGCAGTCCGAGGTATATCGGTGGTGGAAACCCAGCAGCAAATTGTTTTTGAAAATTTCTAGAGCTATAAAGTTCACACCACTTATTTTCTGGGGAATCCTCGGGTAATCTATCTACAACTTGGATTTGTTTTAATTATCTATTAAGGGAGTGTTTGCACTTGCTTCTACTGAAAAAAAAAATGATTTTTTAAAAGGGGTTTGTCCTCAAATAATACTAATTAAAAGCATTTGGACAAAAACAGAGACTTTTATTTTAAGTTCCAAATATAAGACTAAATAACACTTAAGGGACTATTACACTCTTACTAAGTCCCAAACCCATTGGCCTGCTACAGTAACCCGTCACAGTGACCAAATGTGCAGTGACCAATGTTAAAGTTACCAATGACATAGTTACAAAATTCATCCAGTGACCAAAAATAATTAGTGACCAAACATCCAAAATTCCTCAGTGACCAAACATCTGAAATTCACCAGTGACCAAAAATTATTAGTGACCAAACATCCAAAATTCACCAGTGACAAAAAAAATTTAGTGACCAAACATCCAAAATTCACCAGTGACCAAAAATCATTAGTTACCAAAGTTTATGTCCAATAACATAGTGACTTTCACCCGTTTAACGACCTACGCCCGTCTGTCCAGTGACCAATGTCCGCACATCTAGTTACAATTACGTGAACTAACCAGTTACAGTTATTAACTCAACTACTTTTATTTATTCAATTTTATCAATTACAATTACTTAATTCGATTGATTACAATTACAGACCCGATCAATTATACTTGCAGTTACTAACAGCTCAATGACATATTTATTCAAAAAAAACTTATGATTACACCGTCATGGCCAGCCACCACCGCAGGCCAAACTATCGGCCACAACCGTTGGCCACCAACGCCGGTGACTCGCTGCCGCACTCACTCCGGCAGCCAACATCCCCAACCCGTCTTTAACCAAGCCCCAATCACCCTGCCACCGCAAACCACCACAGCCATCCACCACCGCTGGCAGCACTGCCGGCCACCACTGTTGGCCACCAACGCCGCTACCGCACTCACTCCGGTAGCCAACACCCTCAACCCGTCTTTAACCCAGCCCCAATCACACTGCCACTGCAGCCACCGCCTCCGGCCAATGGCACCTCCGTCCACTGCCGCCTCTGCCCATAGCCGCCCCAGGCCACCGCCGCCCCTGCCCAATCCTCTCGCCATCCCCATGCCCAGCCCCCAGCCCAATTCCCAGCTACCTTGCCCCAGCAACCTGTGAATCCAACCACCACTCACATCCCTCAGATCCGAGCTTCTGACCAACACAACCAGAGCCCGACACCACCATAGCCCAACCTAATCAACCCCAACCGGAAAATCTAGCTGCCGTAACCTAAACGTAACCCTAGAGTATCAGGATTTGTCCTTTTTGCCTTTCATCTGTTTGAATTAGCCCCTTCACATTCAGATACGCCCTCTCCACGATCCGGTTCGCCTCTTCTCAATTTGTTGTTGTGTATCGCCGCCATCAACGCAACCATACAGAAAGGGAAGAAATAGAAGGGCGGCTGGGATGGCGGTGCGGGTGCGAGGCTCTCGGTGGTGGTGCGATAGCGGTGGGTTGCAAGGCTCTCTGGCAGTGGCACAACGGCGGTGGAGCGACGGCGGCAACAACTTACTTGCTTGCAAGTGAAGAGGAGATGGGCGAAGGGCGTGGTGAGGATGGGCGAAGTCGTGAAGAAAGAGACGATGAGATCTAGGAGGGGTATATGTGAAAGGGGTACTTTGGTCTGTTCAGTTATTTTTAGTCTCTTTTCTGTCCAAAATTAGAACCACTCCTGTTTTTGTCTATTCAAGTCCTCCAAGTAATATTAACGTCATTATTCCTTTTTAAAATGATTTTGGAGAAAGTGATTATTACTAAAAGTTGATATTGATTAAAAAATGTTTCTATTAGAAAGAGTTTTACTATGTAGAATAGAAGTGATTTTGATTAAAAAATGTTTCTATTAGAAAGAGTTTTACTATGTAGAATAGAAGTGATTTTGATTAAAAAAAATAAAAAATGTAGTGTTTGATAAAAAAAAATGATTTTTGGTGTAATATTTTATCAAAGTACACAAACACTCCTCTAAAACACCATGTTGTCCTCCATAATATAGTTCAGGAGTATCCATCGGAAATCCGAATATGCCAGCTACCATCAACTTCAACGGACCAACAAATATGCCAAAATCACCAACCATCCCTAAGACCCTAAACAAAAGAGAGGATGGACCAACAATTCCCCAATTCCCCAAAATTCATTCCATACACAATTCTTGCTACTCATATTCCCCAAAATTCAGCAGCAGAAGAGACGCGGAGCTCTGTGTGGAAGATGCGACAGAGGGAAGAGTAATTTGGGTTTAAAATAAATAAGTTTTCATTATAATCATCCCCAGAGTTCAATTTTTAGCTTTAAAGTGCTTTTTTTTATAAGTAAAAGCGAGTATTTGAAAAAACTAATATTTTAAGCCAAGAGCGGTAAAGCACATAATTTAAAGAATTGTTCTAAAAATCTGATTAGATTTGATTAGATTTGATTCATTCTCATCTCAATCTTGCACGTTCAATTGTCTAGTTTTATCAAAATCAATTATGTTTTACGTGATTAATGTTGATGTTAATATCAATGTTATGATGGTAATTGTTGTTATTGTTATTCTTATCATTATCATTATATAAAATAGAAAATTATCTAGACTAAAATTCTTTCACTTTCTCAATCTATGACCTAACTAGTTTTTCCCAACAAAACATTTAAATTTGTAATACCTAATTAATTTATAAAAAAAGAAATAAATAGTCTTTATGGACTAATATGCTCTTTTACCTACAAAACTCTAATCTTGACGTGCACTTTGTCGTGATGTACACTCAAAATAAATACAATACAACAAATATACGTAGTATATTGAAGTAAGGTTCGTGTCCGCAGGGAAAGGAATACTTCTCTTTAAATTAACTTTAAACAAAGCGGGGGGATTTATATTTGGCTGATGAACTTTAAATTATATTTAAACACGAAGATGAACGAGTTATGGGATTTAATTAATGAGAAGAAGACTTGGCTTTGCTTTTATCCACTTAATGAAAATGTTCGTCGATCCCGGTTATATCTTTAACTATCTTCCTCTCGAATACTCAATCGAGGAGTATATCCAGTTCATCGAGGGTAGTTATTAATAACGAGAAGCGTTCATTAATAAAACTTACTATCGAGTCAATATAGAACAAGCGCCGTATATTAACTTGATAGTAGCAATAAAATCAAGATGAAAACGATTGAGATTGATAACCTCAACACAAGCGGTTTATTGGTTTAATCAATATAATTAATTCCCCTTGGCTTATTAACCATGAGAAGCATGTATTAACAACCCAAGTTTACTACCGTGAAGGGACCGAATTAATAACAAGCGTATTAACCGACCGATTCTAGTAATAATTAATATATAGAACAAGACTAGGTGATACTTTAAATAATGCTCAATATATTAATATGGAATAAGAATAGGAAGTAATTAATATTCAAGGAAGAAGATTAAAGAAAATAACTCACAACTTACAAATCATTAAGCTTCAAAGTAGCAAAACCAAGATGGAAGAGTTTAGCTCCTCATTTGGAGACTAAACATGATGAAAAATATAAAGAAAGAACTTGTCTAAACTGAGCTAAGAAGTATATGTGAATTGGTTCCCTTAATGTGAAGGAAAAGGGGTGTATTTATAGCAAAATAGAGGTGGCAGGGTTCGGTACTCGATTCAGTATTGGCAATACTGGACCGAGTATGAGAGGAAATTTCCAAGAAATTGTGAAAAATAGGCATACTCGACCGAGTATTGCTAATACCCGACCGAGTATGCGACAGGATTTTCATCAAATATTCAGCCACGTTCTTTTGCTCCCAGATTTGATTTTGACCAGCGTATCAGGCCAATACTCGGCAATACTCGACCGAGTATTGAACAAATTTCAAAATCTTCATTTGATCTTCTCCTTTTTGCACATTCTTTGGTCTTTAGGATCCATCCTTTGATTCTTGGGATGATTTTGACCTGTCCTAAGCTCAATAAAATCCTAATCTAAATAAATTACAAATAATTAATGAAAATAAAGTATTACACCAAAAGTGTGTAATTTCTACAACTAGAACTAATAAAACTAGTAATACAAACATACATAATAGGAAATTCACCCTATCAAACTCCCCCACACTTAGTTTCTTTACTCGTCCTCGAGTAAAGCCAAATGTTTACAAGCTTTGCAATTCCTCCATAGTTCAACAATTAATAAGAAAGAGCAAAAGGCCACCAAGAATAACACATGAGTTTTACATTGGGATGATTTTTTTTTAGCTCATAGAATAACATCTTCTTGGGTTTTATGACCTTCTATGCTCATCTTTTTTCTCCTCTTCTTCTTTTCCTTCAAGAGATTAAATGATGTCCTGTAAAAACAATTATATCTCTCATATCTCTCGTTTTGCCTAGGAGCCTTTTCAGGTTTTCATCCTAGCATCTCTTTTTATTTTTCCATCATTTCCACTCACTCATTTTTTATAAGCCCTTTTTGCTTAGATTGCCCGTTTTTGGGTTTTCAACCTAACCAGCATTTCTTTTTCTTTTTCTTTTTCCTTTTTTTTAAGTTTTTTTTGTGTGAAGAAAATAATGCAAGTTACAAGGTAGAAAAATTAAGTACGTACCAATGAGTGACTCCCCCTCACTTAGGTCGAAGAACTGTCCCTAGTGCCCGCCATCACCATCGTTTTTGTTTTTGTTTTTTTCTCTCGAAAATATAAAGTTGTGGATTGGGAGAGGGGTGAGTGCTTCCAAGAGTTTATGGATTAGAGGGTGTGTGGAGCAAGAGTAAAGTGATGAGAACAAGATTATGAAATTTTTGTGGGGTTTGGTGGAGGATTTGGATAGATTTTGAAGAAAGAAGGATAGGGTTATGAGGTTTGGGGTGATTGGGGTGGAGTTGTATGGTGTTTTGGAAGATTAAATATGAAAATTGTTGAAGAGGAAGCTGCTAGAGAAAAAAAACATTAATCACACAATAATGTACCTCGCTTGGGTTGCCTCCCAAGAAGCGCCTTATTTAACGTCGTGGCACGACGCCATCATTGTTCAGTCGTTCAAGCTTGGATCGTGATGATTCATTTTCTTCACATTTTCACTCCTAGAACTTTCGTAGAAATTCTCAATTTTTCAACCCTTCACTTTGAAGATCTTTCCAGGATCAAATATCCAGATTTCCATTGATTCATATGGTGAGAGGGAGGGAAAGAAATTATAGTTTAGCATGGTCAATGGAAGGTGTTTCGATCCCTCCATTTTGCTGAAGATTTCAAAGATGGCAAGGTCATTTTCAATATTATGAGTTTCCCCCAAAGCTTCCAAAACTGGTGGGGGTACCTCAATGAATGACAAGGATAAAAATGTGAACTTGAAGCTCGACTCATCCTCTTCTTTGACCATTTGGAGCATCATGTCTTTTTCTTCTTCTTCTGGATTTTTGGTCTCCCTTTGCATTTTCTTCCCATTTGTCAATGTGACTGCAACAACTTGCTGTTTAGGACCCTGTTCTATTTGAGAGGGAAGTTTCTCAAAATATTTTTCTTCCGATTGATCCACAACACTTGGTATTTCATTCACTTGATTTTTCAAGTTCAATTCGATGGGCCTTGTTTCTTGTGGGAATGATGCCATATTTTGTTGCATACTTGTCACGTTGATAGTGAGATCTCGGATCATGTCCTCCGTAGAAATGTTGGAGAATGGATCATACCTCATGTGAGGTATTTCCCTTTGAAAACCAACATCATTGATTTGTTCCAGGTATTCTTCTTGGAACTTTGGGCAAAAATCCGTAAGATGCCTGTGAGACATGCAAATGTTGCATGTCTGGACATCTTGAAAATTTGAACATAAAATATACTCCTTTATTAGAGAAGTCAAGACGGAAATTTGACTCTCTAGCGAAGATATGTTGGTATCCATATACTCATGTAAGCTCAGAAAAGAAAAGTGAACTTTTTATATTTTATTTATTTATTTTTTTTTTATTTTTCTTGAATTAAATTGAAAAGAAAAATGATTGCCTTTCCCCGGCAACGGCGCCAAATTTTTAATGCTTGACTTTGTCTCATGTTGGAATTGTATCATGGTTTGTTGAAATTGTCCCATGCTTTGTTGCATGGTAACCATGTTTGAAGTCAAAGCTCGTATCATGTCATCAGTTGACATATTAGGTTGAGAGTTTGAGCCTTGATTGTTAAAAGATGATTGAGAAGATGGGTTGGATTGTTGGAGGTTTCCATACCTCAAGTTCGGATGATCCCTCAATCCTTGGTTGTAAGAGTTGGAGAATGGGTCGTACCTCCTTTGTTGATGTCCTTGGAAACCCAAGGCGTTGACTTGCTCTAGATTGTCTTCTTGAAGAGTTGGGCATGAGTCCGTGGGGTGCCCCTGTTGTGTACAAATGCCGCAGACCTTGACTTCTTGGGTCTTGGATTTTAAGAGGAAATCCTTAACTAAAGAAGTCAAGCCAGCAACTTGACTCTCCAGTGATGATGTCGATTCTGCAGCGGCAACTCTACGAGTTGAGGATCTGCGACCGAATTGCCGTGAGTTCTCGGCCAATTCCGAGATAAGATTTATAGCTTGTGAAGGAGTTTTATTAACAATGCCGCCTCCACAAGCGGCGTTCACCATTCTTCTATCATCATCAACAAGACCATCATAAAAGTATAAGATGAGGTCTTGTTCTGAGTAGCCATGATAGGGACAGCTAGCACATAGCTTCTTAAATCTTTCCCAAAATTCATATAAGGATTCATCATCCTTTTGCTCGATGTTGCTTATTTGCTTTTTGAGAGAAGATGAGATGGAAGCAGGATAATACCTATCGAGGAAGCACTTCTTCATTTGTGCCCATGTGTTGATGCTTCCCGAAGGAAGATAGAAAAGCCAATCCTTCGCGGTATCCTTCAAAGAGAACGGAAAGGCCCTCAATTTAATTTGTTCCTCCGTGAAACCGTTTGGGCACATGCTTGTGCAAACGATGTGGAACTCCGACAAATGTTTATTCGGATCCTCCCCTCTTGAGCCATGGAAGGAAGGAAGGAGATGAATGAGCCCCGATTTTAGCTCAAATGTATTACCTTCATCAAGAGTGGGGAAGGTAATACATAGCGGTTGTTGATTCAAGTTTGGAGCTGTGAGCTCCCTCAAGGTTCTTGTTTCGTTAGCCATGTGGAATGGCTCTTCAGACTCGCTAGAACTAGAGCTAGCGTTTGAGGATTCCTCCGAGGGTGTGTGCGGAAATAAATTTCTCAACCTCTCGAA